CCTGGTCAGTCATCGACATTTTTGATGATGCTGAAGACAAGTTGAAAGCATTTAATGCTCTGTTCAACCAAGTCCTCGACCAACACGCGCCAGTTAAAACTGTTAAAGTGAGAACTCGCCCCTGTCCATTTATTAATGATAACATTCGCGCGTTAATGAAAACCAGAGATCATTGGCATAAACTAGCAAGGCGAACAAACGATCCTGCCATTTGGTCGGGCTATAGGAATTTTAGACGCGAAGTAAAATGGGAATTGCGACTTGCCCAAAAAACTTTTGTAGAAGATCAGATCAGGCAAAATGCAAATGACACTAACACTATGTGGAAGACTATCCGATCATGCATACCAAAGAAATCAGCAAGCACAAAATGCTTTTGTAAAGATGACAAGACTATAGCAAACGAATTCAATCAATTCTTTACCTCAGTTGGGAAAACAACACTCGAGAAAATCAAATCACTCGCTGATGAATGCGGATACACTCCTTCACATGCATCGTTTGTTCCGATACAATACCCTCTCTCGGAACAATTCACATTTGGCGATGTCACGTATTGTGAAGTTGAAAGAGTTGTGAAGTCGCTAGCTAACAACAAAGCACCTGGCACTGACAAAATACCATCCCGTGTCACAAAGGAATCTGCTCCTGTTATCATTCCATCGATAACCTCTATTATAAACAGTTCATTCAACTGTGGTGTTTTCCCTAGTGCCTGGAAAACGGCTGAGGTATGTCCAATTCCAAAAGACGGTGATCACGAAGTAACGAGTAATAATAGACCGATTTCGTGAAAAAATTGCACTTGATCAGCTCACATCATATTTGACTGGAAAAAAAGACTTGCATCTAATCAAAGTGGAAACAAGAAGTGGCATTCAATCGAAACTTCATTAATATCCTCTACAGACGCAATCTTACGAGCGATTGACCAAACTAAAACTACAGTAGTAGTGTACCTAGACATCAGCAAGGCCTTCGATAGTATCAAGCATGAAATTTTAATAACGAAACTAAAGAACATTGGTCTCTCCTCATCTGCGTTAACATGGTTTTGTAGCTATGTGTCCCAAAGATCTCAGGTAGTTCGCATAAACTCAACGCTATCAGACGCCCTACCCGTTACTTGTGGCGTCCCTCAAGGCAGCGTACTCGGGGCTCTGCTGTTTAGTATTTATGTAAATGACCTTCCAGCAATCAGCGAAAGTTGTTCAACCGAATGCTACGTGGATGACACCCAAACTTCTTTTGTCCTTCAAAGTTGGTGACGCTGACGAAGCAAAGGACACTATCCAATAGGATTTACATCTAATTCGTAACTGGTGTTTTGAGAAGTTCCCTCTTCGAAAATGTAGCACTTTTAGTTTTAACTCCAATTCAAAGCAAATAACCAAATAACTTTCCATGGAAATATTGGAACAGAAAATCTATAACACGAATGTGTCCACTGACGTTTGGCACCAAAAGAGGAGACAGAGATTATTTTTTTGTAATGCACACCTGTAGCTGATGTCGCTGAAGTTTGTCATCGTTTCACCTACTAACTTCCATTTTGAATTTACATCGAGTTCCTTTATTCAACATTAATTCATGTAACTATATGAACCTCAAAATTCAAATGTCTTTCGCATTATATTAAAGAGAACTATTCAGCCATATGGGTTAGTTATAAGAACAGTTTCAAATCTATTCCGCTTAATATATATTTTTAGGAAATCATTGCCGAGTTAGCCGCCATGGTACGGGAGCTGTTGATTCAGTTTTATCGCTCGACGAGACACAAACCAGTGCGGATTATTTTTTATCGAGATGGAGTGAGTGAAGGGCAGTTTAGACAGGTAAGAGAGAAGGACAGCTCAGAAGATAATACTCTACAGTGAAAGAGAAAACAGATTTCTCGTAACGTTATTGCTTCTTTCCCTTCTCGAGAGGTGTCCAAACTTTGATCCCCAAAGTTCGAATTTCATACTGAATAACTGATGCTTTAGGGCCTCCCCAGGCTAGACACTTAGTTGTCTACAACTAAATGTTATCGGCAACTAATTGTGTCCGATGCGAACATTCCACACATTGAAGTGTTAGTTGTTGCTAGCTAACTCAGTCTAGCGAGAGCTTGGGAACTAACGTTCACTGCGCATGCTCACAACACAAAACGCATGCTCAAATGTGTGTTATGTTTCAATAGTTGTCGACAACTAAACCAATGATTCCCACACAGGGGAAAAACGGTCGAAACATAGTTGTCGATAGCTAATGTTTGTCAACAACTAAAGCAGTTTCCCTTTTCGAAAAGGGAAAGTGCTTAGTAAGCTCTCGACAACTACAAATTTAGCATTTAGTTGTCGACAGTTCATCTCACAGACTACGTTTTTTAGTTGTCGATAACAGATAGTCGTTGACAATTAAATGCTAGTCTGTGGAGGCCCTTATTAGCTGACTAGGAAGTCTAAGTAACTACGCGGAGGACAACGTCGATTAAAAACTGAATTTCTATTTTATCTTCGAATCGCAAACTGAATATGGAACACAGCGTAAAATGCGAAATATCAATTTCAAAAATTATCTGTCGTGGTTAACGTTCTCCAGAAAACTCAGAATTTGTTTATTTCACGTTGTTGTTTTGCAGAGGACGGCAACGAAATGTACCAAGAATTTAACGCACGTGTACAGCCATTGTATTGCTCATTTAACATTTTATTTAGCGATGTTGTCGTTGTCGTTGTGGAGTTCTTAAATTCCCTACTGTGTGGGACGTGCGGTGGCCTCATGGTTAGTGCGCTCGTCTCCGGATCTAGTGTTCCGGGTTCAAGCCCTGGCCGAGGTCCTTGCGTTCTTCTTAGGCACGACACTTTACACTCACAGTGCCTCTCTCCACCCAGGTGGATAAATGAGTACCGTCGAATTTAATGCTGGGGGGTAAACCTGCGATGGACTAGCATCCCATCCAGGGGGGAGCAGAAATACTCCTAGTCGCCTCATGCTACGAACCGGGATACGCCTGGCCCGATGGCCGACCCAGACTTAAAATTACGTTTACTCTGGCGGACTGATGAGTTAAGAAGTAGTTTATTTTGCATTGTATTGGAAATAAAGTTGCCTTGACGTGTTGTTCGTTACCAGGTCCTGTGCCACGAACTGAAGGCAATCCGCGAGGCTTGCATCAAGCTGGAGGTTGGGTACCAGCCTGGAATCACGTTCGTTGTGGTCCAAAAGCGACATCACACACGATTCTTCTGTCAGGACGAAAAAGACCGGGTATGAATTTGCTCACTAACAAAAATATATTTTGTATTGTAACCGGTTGTAAAGATTTGCTGTTTGTTTTTCTATTCTATCTTCGGCACAGGTTAGCTGGCCTGAATATGACTTTTTTATTGTCTCTCAAGTTTGGTATTTTGCTTGTTTTAGTGTGGCAACAGTGGGAATGTCCCTCCAGGTACCACTGTGGATATCGGCATCACACATCCCACTGAGTTTGACTTCTACCTGTGCAGTCACGCAGGTATTCAGGTAAAGATAAGCAATATACTCTCAGAAGTTAACCAGAGACAGAGGCCCGGTCCACAATACACTGGAGATATTTGAAAACGCAACAATCAGCGGTCGTTTTGGATTTGTGTTTGAGGAAAACTCGG